GGACTCACAGTCCGCTCAGCGAGCGCTGGGCGAAACCCCCGACATGCAAAGTTGCAAGGTCCTTCTGACCGCGTGTCGGCCAGAAATATATTATCTGGTTGCAGTCCAATTTGCATTCCTAGTTCGATCTGCAACCTTGTTCCATAACAACGATGTTGAACTGGGAGATGGGTATCTTGATTTTAATTAACTCTCCCAGTATGCTTGAGAGCACTCCACCTTTACCTGTGTCATCTGATAGGAAGATAGGAGAAGATCCTGTCCTAAAGGATTTGCACAGCTCTAATGAACCCATTGCTCATCATACAGTCTTCCACGTTGCGACTGTGGCGGTCGTCGTTGTCTTCTGCTACTGGGAAGTGGGTGGTCAGAAGACCTATTTCCCTTTTCTCATCGTTTCTCAAGTGGTTGTTATTAGTAAGATTTAGCACCAACTGTCTCTCAAGTGTTTTTCTAGCTATGGCCCTAAACTTGTTTAATGGGCTTCGCGAATCATATTGTTGCAGGTGGTTAGGTTTGACGCGTATTCATCCCAGTTACCATATCGCTTCGTTAGGTTGAGGAGTTTGCTGACTTCTCCCCGCACATCTGAGAGAAGGATTCCTTTTGTGACCCTTTGGCTCTACTTAATAGTCGGCAGCTCGATTCGATTCGTTTGCCTTTATTATTGTAACGTACATGCCGGTGACTTACACCTCCAAGTCCACCCATAATTTCTCTATTTTAGTTGTGTTCAAAATTAAATCTTTCTCTTCGCTTATTAAATACATATTTAACGCTCTTCTTCAGCAACGCTAGTAAATTTCTCTTAATCAAATATTTGCCTATTATTATTTGCCAAACATTTACATTCCATCGCGATGAGTGGAAAGTAAATTTTTTAATTTTCTTTACAAAACACTGCGGCAGGTCGAGGGTCACACTTCACCCGCGGAAAGTCAGAGGAGTGACTATGTATAATTTCGCATTTTGTCATGCAACTATTTAATAATACCAGCAAACGGTGTTACGCTAGTGCAATTTTCCATGAATAAATAAACAAAATCTGATAAAAACGGCATTTTCTAAATTAAATTGTTTGCAAAGCGGGTGGGAAGGGTGCAAAAAATATATGTAGGTATGTATATTAGAGTTGAAGAGTAGCGCGACTAAGGACTCCTCTTGACTTTACCGCCGCATAAGCATATGACTATGTCCTACGGTGTGGACAAAATGTTCAATGTGTTGGATTGGTTTTTTTTAAGGTTTGTTTTTTTTTGCTTTCTTTTGTTGCTGTTTTGAAGGCGTTTACAAGCCCATAACGTCATTTAGCTGCCATACTGACTGTGCGGCGGATCCGATATGTGGTTACAAACGTAGCTTTATTATTACCTGAGACATATTTGTATATACATGTGGGTTCATATGTATGTATGTATGTATGGATGATGATTTGTTTGCATGTAGTATCCACTCGCCGGTAAGTTGTTGACATTTAACATATGCGCAACCACTCATAGCAATTATCATGTCTGCTTGACATGGACACCGCACATAAATAGTCGGACATATCATATATTCATATTTCTAGATATTTACATATGTACATATCATTGTATTTGTTGTAGATATGTAAAGTATAGGCATTCATATGCATATACATATGTACATGTCGACATACTTATGTATGTATGTATGTGAAAAACATTGGTATCCTGTGGAAGTGAGAGAAAAGAAAAAAAAGGTGGAATCATAGTTGGATATGCCGGTATGACGAATTGTTGAGTACCCACCTATTTATGTACTTATATGTGTACTTCTGTACATGCATATGCATCAGATATATCCACTAACATAAATTTAAACACAAACATTTAAGCCTGAAAATAAGTGATAAAAACTTCTCAAGCAATAGTATTTTAGTGAGACCCTGAAAATAAGTCTCAGTTTCTTTCCAGCCATTTGTTATAAGAAAATAATAGAGAATAATTAATAGAGCTCGGATTTTGATGCAAATGGAACATGCAAAATGTATGCAAAAAATATGCAAGAACTATGCAAAATATATTAAAAAATTACAAAAAAATACATAGTTAGATGTGCTAAAAAAAGTTTTTTTATGCAACAATGCGGCCCGAACCGTTGCCAAAGTCCCCAACGTCATCGACCAGGAGCGCATCCTGGAGGAGAGTAGGGAGAAAACGTCAATCCTCTCTTCTTCAGAGTGGGATGAGGACCAATCTCTTGCAGGGGATGTACGTGGAGAAGCAGTTCGCTGCCAACTACCCTCCAATGACGGGGAAGGGGAAACACTCTTCTGTGGCTGACCGAACTCCTCCTGTGAGTAAGCGGCCCAGGTCTACATATGTTACTCCAGAAGCCAGTGGAACTTGATGGATGTACCGACAACCAACTCGGTACTGGTGTGGCATTGCCCAATTCCGATCATCCAGACAGACGAAGCGCTTGCCTCAACCCAAGAATAGAAGTGATGCAAGGGTCGGTCGAGGCAAAAGTGCCCTCGCTTTTCCCTCGAAGTAACTACGTCTGGAGGTCTGGGTTCCGGGAAACTTATTGTGAGCCCGCAAAAGGCCCTGTGCTCATTGCCGTAATGGGGAGAGCGGGTTAGACTCGGCAGACGACTACGGCGGAAATTAAACGCTGATCCGGGTCGTCATTGCCTCGGGCACTGTAGCCAATGCTCGTTCATAAGAGGGGGATGGAACCACTGTGGTAAAATGCCTCTCCCAAGCTAACTGGGATTGGCTCAAAGCTGTGGAGCAAAGAATACCGCTCACAAGGGGAACAGACTTCCCTGTTAACAGTGCCAATTACGAATGAGAGATAAAAATTATGAATGAGAGAGCGGATTACGTGCCGTGGGAACGTAGTATAATTCGCTCTGCGAAGTGTGCTGCAGCGGGATTGAAACCTTGAGTCAAACAGCTAGGGTGGTAAAAGTTCTGAAGAAGGACCAAACCACAAAGCTGCGTTCACTCAAGAGTCCTGATGGCTCTCTCTGACGGAGAGCTCTCTGTTCTTCTAGAGGCTAAATTTCGTGGAAATCAGGTGATGGTTTCGCCTTGCTCTCCCTCGACTGGTGAGGGAGGGTATGCAAGAACCACAGTGTCAAGGTAAAACTGGTTTGTTGCCAGAAATGTCTTTAATGAAGATGCCCTAAGATATGCCATTGTCTTTTGACAGTCTCAAATCGCCTGGTCCGGATGGCATCCTACCTATTGTACTTAAAGAAGGTGTTGAGCTTTAGTTGGCGAACTTGCAAAAGATTTTCACAGCATCGCTTGCACTTGCCAACATACCACAAATAAATTAGATTTGTTCTATGCTGACGTAGCTGGGCAGCACTATTCAGGTAGAAGAAGGTCAGTATGTCGCGTGCGGAGTTAACAAGAGCTGCCATCAAAGCGACATGCTTATAATAATTTATTTATAGGAAATATGCAAAATATATACAAAAATATGCAAATATGCAAAATATGTGAAAATATGCAAAAAAATTGACTCACTTCCTCCTATAATGAGTTTCTACCCAGGTCCGGACTTTCTGTCTGTTAAACAAACATAATCACTTGGTAGCAAAAGTCATTCTCAGACAAAGAAGAAGTGATCTACGAGCCTTGATTGGACTGATTCCAATCCATGGAGTCACCATAGGCATCATCGACAATCTACTGTGTACATTTCGTTTGGAGGATGAGGATAGAACAGCATATTTTCTCTACCGCTGTCCAGCCTTCGCCAGACTTAGATGGTACATTTTTGGATCGGATGTTTTAAGAACGGACGAGATAGGTTCTCTTTCCCTCAAAAAAACTGCTAAGATTCATAAAGGAGTCTGGTAAGTTTGCAGAGGAGCAACGAATTCCTACTCCACCCTCTAAATCTGTCTGTAGGTTTTAAGTACAATGGGCAATACTGCCTCAGAGCTTGGAAAAATTTCTTTTTTTCTGGCGTCCTAAAATTCCATTCCATTCCATTCCAATTATATTCTATCTCCATCTTTATCGTTCCCGTAATCATACCCGTTCCTTTCTATACACGCATAATACCCCTTCAGCGTGACGTTAAATGTTTTTTGCAAACGTCTCCGAAATCACTTAAGAAGTTTTACTAAAAGAAAAGTTATCAACCTGAAGTCGCTAATATTTATGTTGTGCGAAGTTCCATGCTTAGAAAACTGTGTAGCCCTAAACTCTCATTCGAATCCATACTTTTTTCGGCACTGTACGAAATATAATAACCCTCGCTTGTCGCCTGTCATTGACTAGAATATAATTGATGATGTCAAATGACTGTATAATGTCAATTACATGATATTGATGAACTTGAGATATACATACATACTTATGTATTTGTATGTAGGTTAGGATGGTCGAAAATGTATGTGACCCCTAAATATTTTTGATTCCAAAATAAAAAATAGGGGTATATTTTTTTCGATATAGAACAATACTAGGAGCATTAAAATTCCGACTTTACTTGGACCACCCTAATGTACCTGAGACATATTAACCATGTAATTATTTTTGTTACACAGCTTAAATAATTTTTTTTTTCCATAAAAATGTCAACATATCAGTTTTATGTGTCTCAAAAGTTAGAATTTCTGACAAACAACCGCAAAATATTAAATTTTTTGGGCGGCCGCCTAAAAGTATGCCACAATTTGCAAACTAAAACCACTTATAAATGGTTGTTTTCAGAAATTAGGCCGAATTTTTGTAATGTCTTTTAGACTGATATTTAAAAATTTTAGACATATTTTTCAAAAGTTTTATGCTGAAATTTGCTACATACATCTAAGAATTTTTTTTTTGCTTTTTACTACTACTAGTATTTATTTTCATCATGATTTATTTTGAAACGAATGAAGAGATGACGAATTGTCTTCCAAAATATCTACATAATTTTTAAGCTCATTTATTTTATCAATTTCCATATAATTTTTTATGCGGCAACTAATTTCTTACTCGTTCTTGCCTCTCTTCTTCTTCTTCCAGCTTGGGCATCGGCCGCGCACATTTCGAAAAACAGCCACCGAGTAATTTACGTAAATCAAATTTTTTCCATTTTGTCATTGCGCTGTACGATCGTGCCGGTCAACCGATTGAAATTGAGCGCACAGCCTTTATTGGCTTCATTGAAAAGGATTCCGAATCGGATGCGACTAAAACAAATAATGGCATACAATATCGGCTGCAGCTGCTCTATGCGAATGGTAAGTGGAATTTTTCGAAAATTCGAAGAAAGTAATATTACTAAGTAAAACAAACAAAATTAGCTGAGAAACTGAGCTTAAATTTAAGCTAAGGAAAATTTAGGGTTTAGATCAATTGAGAACTAAAGTTGATAGTTTCGTTTAGTAGGGTGAAGTGAAAATAAAGTTTAAAACTCAATACGCTTCTAAGTGAACTTAAGGAATGTATGAAGGTTATTGTATGTAAACTAGTCTTGGCCAGAGAGCGTTCATATGAGTTCTATAGAAAGTTTTAAAATGCACATCCTGTTCCTGTAAATCGGAAACCGCGATGTACTCAGCAATATGACTCAGAGAGTCTGGGCGGTGGAAATCGAGAACCTTCGGGCATAGCTCAATATCAAGCCTTAGTCCGATAGCAAATAAAACCACGGACTACTTGGTATCAAGTCTCGATTTTGGCTTCAATGTACATACTTGTGCGGTTTTCATTCAAATGGGAATGAAGAGGGGAGTTAATCTTTTTTGTGAATTTATTATTGTCTAGCTAGTTATACAACAAACACCATATAAATGCACATTTCAAACTTTATACAAAATTTATAAAAATTCAACAAATTTTCAGCAAAATTTTAAATTTTTTATTCTGAAAGGTATTTTGTAGCCACTTAAACTTACACTTTATGATACTAAAATTGTAAGGGCAATTAAACTGCATACCAAAAATTATTAAAAAAAAATATAAAAATTCTGATTAAAAAAAATTTAATTTTTTTTTTATATAGAGAAAAACGCACACCATAGTCAAAAAAAAAAAATTCTAAAACGCAACGGTATTTTGTAGCTACTTCAAACCAAGGCATATTGAACAGTTAGATAGTATCATTAGATCAGCTGGTTTGTTTTTTTTTTTTAATTATTTGGTCGCTAAAGTGTCAAATATAGTTTATTAATTTTTCCTTAAAATTCTAAATTGCCAAAATATATTTTCACGTGAAAGTTGTTTTTTCATAAAACGAAGTTATTAAAATTCGAATAATTTTTAATGATTAAAAAACACCGAATTCCATTTTGACACTTTAGATACCAGAAGACTACCTGTACCCAAAAGTTTTCTAAAAGTTCACAATAAAAAAGTGTGAAACTTTGATGAAACTTTTTTTTTTTACTTAGTTTGAAACTTGGATCTATTTTTATGAAATTAACTATCTATATTTTTATAAAAAAGTTAAAATAAAAAAAAACATTTATAGTCAAAACATGTTAATATGTGGGTGTCGTATGGTTATGATAAGCACTTTAATAAAGTAAGAGAAATTGCAAAATAGCAAAGAGATCCACTTCAATACAAATCCCCTTGAGTGCATACATTTTTTCTTAATCAATGCAAACTTAAGCCATTACAATTCAATTTCGTTTATAATTCGCTACTAACTCTTCAAAAAAAGATTATTCTACTTAATTTAAAGATTTCATTAAACATTTATTTATAACTTTCTTTCTTTTTTGAATTTAATCAGGTGCGCGCCAAGAGCAAGACATATTTGTGCGACTCATCGATTCGGTGACAAAGCAGGTAAGTCCTTTTTAGTCTAGAAGAGAGAAAACAAAGGAAAATAAATTAAAATAGAATAAGCATAAGCTAGCGTGTGAGTGCTCTTCAAAAATACAAAAAAAAAAATAGCCATCGCCGTTTTGTTCCGAAAGAATTTGCAATCAATTACCTTGGCATTTGCCATTTGCCGCTTTTTGCAAGCTTTTTTTTTTTTTTTTGAGAATCCTATAAAAACCCATATTTGCCTCTTCGCATTCACGCGCGCGTGTGTGTGTGTGTGCAATCGAACATAAGTTGCGTTCAAAATTGATTGTCACAGTTAATTAAGTGCGTCCATAGTATACGCCAATAAATTGAGTTGTCAAACATGAATGTACGTTCCTACTACCATCGTACGAGTAGTTAGTAGCAAAAACAGCCTTCTAATAGGGGTGTTGCCCGCTCGTTGGCTGAGGCACACACACGCTTAGTACCCCTTTCTTTCGCGTTGCTTCCAGCCCCCTCGAAACTCTTTAGCACTCAACATAGTGTAGACACATGTAGACATATTTAGCGAGTCCCATTTGTTCTACTGCGACTGGGTTAACTCCTTTTTTTTCGTCACATTTGCTGCAGGTCGCCTTGGAACGCCTACACACAGCGTTGGCGTGTCCAGCCGCCTTTATGTTTGTATTTGTGTGTTCGGGAGTGTGTGCGTGTACGCTTGCGAAACGCATCGAAATGCAAACGCAGCATTTAACATTTAGAAAAACTGTCTACCTTGCCGCTGCTGTGCTGAGGACGGCGGATGGACGGACGACAGGACTTGTGCCATATGGCTGGTTTTTAATGGTTTTTTTTATTTCACGTTTTTCTACAAGTTATCTTTTTTTGTTTCATGTTACCGTATTCGTACAACAAAGGAAGCAAAAGAAAGCTTGAAGCTTGAACAAAAATCTAACTTAAAAAAAAGTGCGTAAAGTAGGCACACGTGCACGCAGAGAAAAATTGTGTTCTAAAAATAAGTCCAACTGGGATTTTATTTTTCTTTTTTCGCTCTTAAATGAAAATTTTTGCAATCTTTCCTCAATCTTAAACGTTCTAAAACTATAAGTAATCATGAAGGAATAACTCTACAAAAATATATGTGTGATAGGTGGCACAGGAGTGGAGATATTTGGAAAGCCTGTATCTATGGCCCGATTTGATTCATATTTAGAACATAAATGGATAGAAATAACTCCGCAAAAAATTGAATCGTTATTAGGTGGGAGTCGATTTGTCTTTTTTTCACTTACCTATAAAAAAAGGTTGGCTTTTAAAAATTTTTTTTTAAATTACTTGTTTTAAATATAGTTCACACTGTTGCAAAAAAAAATTATATAAATAAAAGTTTCAAACTTTGTACAAAATTTAGAAAAGTTCATCAACATTTCAAACTTTGTAAACAAAATATTTTCGGAAATTTCGAAAAAACGTTCTAAAAATATCAATAATCATGGAAGTACACTTGTGGCCACGCAAACCTTACCAGCACTTTATTTTTAATAAAATATATATTTTTTTAAATATACATAATTCACATTGTAACAAAAAATAAAATAAAAATAAAAGTTTTAAACCATACAAAATTTAGAAAAATTCATAAAATTTTCATCAAAGTTCCAAAATTTGTAATCAAAATTTTTAGGAAAATTTCTGGTGTGCAGTTTAATATAACCCATGTTATTTTAGTATAATAAGGTGCAAATTTGAAGTACCTCATTTCTCTCCATACGATGTTGCGCATTTTTTCATCAAAATTTTATAAATTTTCAAACTTGCAAGTAAAATTAAATGGTCTATTATACTGCATACCCGAAATTTTAGTAAAAATTTTGATTTAAAAGTTTGCAATTATGATGAAAATTGTCCAAAGTTTGAAACTATTTATATAGTTTTTGTTACAGTGTGAACTATTTAAAAAAATAAATAAAATAATTTGTTTTATTAATTTGCCAAATTCTAACTATATTTTTTTATAGTGGTGGTAAGGTTTGCGTTTTCGGAGCTACCGTTAATTTTGTGACCGCATTTCTTGATTTGGCCCTAATTTAAGTATAAAATTGATTTATTTTTTTCTGAGTGTGCTTCTTCGATGTGCGTGGATTTGTGTGCCTCTAACTGTGTCTCGCTGAATTGCTTCTTTTTCAAGGGTAATTAATTTCTTGACTGACAAATTTTTATTGTTGTTGCACAAAGCTTAAATGCGTATTTTTTATTCGATATTCAGTGTGCGTTTAGCGTGTTGAGGCATCGTTGCATGCGTTCAAAAATCGATTTCGCTATTAAAGTGATTGCCCATTGACAACAGCCGTTCGGGAATTGGCTGCAGGAAACCAAATGTTTCGTGTAATAAGTTTCTGTGTGTAGATGTTGGAGTTTAATAAAATTTTTTGGAAGAGCTTAATTCCATATTAAACCTAAGTACTTTGGATACTGAAAATTAAAAAAGTTTTAAATCGTTGCCCAAAGAATTATTCCAGGCAGGCAATGTGAAGTTTGACAGATATATAGCCCTTCGGAAGCTTCGGTAGAAACTGGTCCTATTGCAACTGCTAATGCAGAAATAAAGTGCAACGAACATTTGTCCGTTGAGGTGCCTATTAAAGATTTGAAAAGTTGGAATTACTCGAAATGTTCGATATCTTTCGCCAATGTGTTTAAATACAACTCAATCTCTACATACATAAGTACACCATTTAATATATTTATGTATTTCACATTTTTTTTATTGCTCTTTCACATACTACAAACACTCACACACGCATAAACTCAATCAAAGGCCCACTTTACTACATGAATCATGATAAATTATCTTTCAACGTGTTAATTAAGCGATAAAATAAATTTGCATGTCAACAAATTTCTGAGTAGTCACTCGTAGGCAATGCGAAAGCGAAACGCATAGCATTGGTCGGTGGAGCAATCGGACGGACATATGTACTACACGTATGGAAGACTGCTGCTCCACGCAAATGCCGTGATTCGCCAACGCATGAGCAGAGGTAGAAGCATGGACACCTCAATGGCGAAAGTCATTGTGTTTTAATGTATTTTTATGTGCGACCATCATTGTTACTACTTACCTACACATGTATGTATGTACTTTAGTATATCGAAAATTCATGCAATATATTAAAGCATTTTTGCAAATTTCCACGTTTCGTTATCGTTCGGCAATAAAATTTATCGGTCGGCCATTACAATATAAATATGTACTTACATAACGCAGTAAAGCAATAAAGTTTTTTTTATACGCGCATTGAAGGGCAGAAGAGCAAAGCGGCAAGTAGAACACTTTAAAGCCAAATAAATTTCCTCTAATTTCCAAATAAATAAATTTCCAAATAATAGCCTCAGTCGTGGATTTTTTTCTACCGCCAGGAGATCTCTTTGACCTTCATGCTTTCTTCTATAAAATTCGCTGAAAGTCGTCCTTAATTGCTTCCGAAGCTTTGTAGGGTCTACCAAAATGTACGAGATGAAAACTCCTCTTATTTTAACGGTCAAATCGTTGTAAGCGCTATCGCAAAGCTTTTATTTAATAGTCCACCTAAGCGCCAGTGCGGACGTCTTCTTCCGGTATTCTATTTCTCTATTCTATTTAGTGAAATTAATAAGTTAGATAGTATTTAAAGTAGACGTACTTATGCGGCACGCACTTAAGTGAAAGGCAGCACAAAAAGCATTTTCAATTGATATTTTATTAAAAAAAAATACTAATTGAAGTTAAAATTTTGTAGGGGCACAGTAAAAAATGCATTCTAGCGGGAGGCTTTTAAACGGAGTACACTTAAGTGATATATATTTATGTTCAAAACTTATTTCTATAAAATGGGATTTAATATAAAAACGTAAATTAGCCATAATCACTATTAAAATAGAGGCCGTTAAATAAAACGCATTTAAGCGATAGACAATAAAATAATTCCTAGCTAATTATATGGTAAAGACTTTAACTGAATTGAGTATACAAAAATTCAGCGCACTTAAGCGGATACCTCTTAAAAATAGAATAAATAAAATGCACTTAAACGGATTTTGTTTTACTAACTTAACTTTGTTTCCGGAAATTTCGAAGGCATGCGCATTTAAAAGAATAGCCTTGCCGTTTATAACTCCCTTTCCGAGTCTTAAAAAAAATTACGAAACACAGTCTACAACGCCTTAGGCTTTTAAACGAAGTGCACTTATTGCACATATGATGTATTAAACGGATTTTTCTAAAGTGAGATTTGATATAAAAGCGTAAACAATCCATAATAACACTCAAAATAGAGGTCGTTTATTGAAACGCATTTAAGAGAGAGACAATAAAAAGAATTTCTATGCAAACATTTGATAAACGAATAAACTGGCTTAAGTTGAAATGAAAACTTAGTGAGACTAACGTCTTCGGCGCACTTAAGCGGATAACCGATAAAAATCCTACATATAAAATGCTCTTAAACGGATTTTTAAAAATTGCGATTTTCATTCGAAGAAACAAATTTTGTGTATGATTATTTCGAATACATGCTCATTTAAAAGGGTAGGCGGGTTGTTATTCCCGCTCCGAACCCTTTCACTCTGCTTTTCAAAAAAAAAAAAAAAAATACACATTACTTCCCTCTCCACTTCATTAGTTACAATCAGATAATAATTAGGGTTAGGTTGCTGCATTTTTGCAGTTAGGTTACAAAGGCATTACAACAACACTGCAACTCATTTTAGTTGCTCACTTTTGCCGCAATGTCCAATAGCTACAACAACCAAAAATTCACATTAAAGTGCAGCAGCAGCATTGGTAACAATGCCAAATGGCGATTATACTCATATTTCATGCATTTGCGGGTAAGCAACAAAGCATAGCACGCATTTTCAATCGCCATCCCTCTCCCCACTCCGTCAGCCGTCATAACTGTATACTTATGTGAGTTTTCTATGCACACAATTCAGCTGGCAACTGGCGCTTGCCCAATCAAATCAGCTAATCTCGATTTCACGCATTATTTTTCAAA